TTTATGGGAATTGCTAACTCTACCTTTCTTGTCCCACACAGCTTTGGGATAAAGTAAAAGCAGAAGAAAAAGCAAAGAAATTAAAAAAAAAAAAAAAAACAGCATATAAAGACAAACAAAGGTTCTCTCTCAAACTCTATGATTAATTCAAATTCTCTAAAAAAAAAAAAAAAAAAATGGGAGTTTTTTTTTAGCCTACTTATAGTTGGGTAGGAGGAAAATTGAGAGTTTTGTTCGGTAAGGCCGTGGTTGGCTCCCCCTCCATTTTGAAGAAGAAAAGAAGATCAAGGTGAGGAAGACATGAATAGAGGGGCGTTGCAGAGCTCAGTTATGCAGCAACAAATGATGGGCTCAGAAAACCCTAGCTGGTGGAATATGGTGAACAGTGGCAGCATTAGAACATCATCCACACAGCAATCTTCTCCCAATAATAATTCTCCTAATTTCCTTTTCCCTCACTCTTCCCTTCCCTTTCCTTCTAATTTCCTCTATGATTTTGCTCAAGACAAGGATCAGCTTCCAGAATCTTGGAGCCACCTTCTATTGTAAATCTCTCTCTTTTATCTTCTTCTTGTTTTTTTTTTTTTTTTTTGTTTAATTTATGTATTGTTTTAATGATTTGATTTGTGTTCGTTATAGGGGTGGTTTAGTGGGTGAAGATGATCAAAAGGGTTGTATGGGGGGAATGTTTCAAGGCAAGAAATTGGAGGATTGGGAAGAGGAGATTTTGAATACTAACACTACTACTCACCATCAACAACATGTTGATGTCAAGAAGGAGAACTCAGCTCATGCAACCTCCTGCGCCTATGTTTATGGACATGGTGGTAGCCGTGGCGGTGTGGATGGCGATAATTATCCTTCGTTGCCTCCGAAACAAAACTGGTCGTCTATCATACCGGTCTCGTCTCCTCAGTCATGTGTCACAAGTTTCAGTAGTAACATGTTGGATTTTTCAAACAATAATACCAACTCTCCTCCGGATTCTCGCCCTCGACATCCCCCTCCTGATCGCTCCTCCGAGGTTACTACAAAAAACTTCTTCTTTTGATCTGATTATTTGTGGATCAAACCCTATAGTAATTATTGTTTTTAATTAATTCCCTAAATTAGCGGGATTTTGAATCTTGTTTTGCTTTTTGTTGAAATGATTTGAAAAAAATCAAGAATGTTAATTGAATATTTGTTTGTGTGTTGTGTTTGTGTTTGTCAAGTGTAACAGCAATGCAGCAGGTGGTGGGGCAGTGAAGAAGGCCAGAGTTCAATCCTCTTCAAACCAAACCACTTTCAAGGTAAAAATAAAAACAAAAACAAAAGATTGAGAAGCAACCCACATGGAAATAAAAACCAAACAACACAAAAACATCTCTTCTTCTCATCCTATAATTGTCGTTCTTGCTTGTCCATTTCTCCTCTCCTCTGATTCTTAATTCTGTTTGTGGCCTTTTTTTCATCCAAAAATAACCCTAAATATTACAATTTTATTACGTGTTGTATACATGACTGATTCTTCCTTTTGCTGTCTTTTTGCTGAATAATAATTTAAAAAAAAAAAAAAAAAAAAAAAAAAACCCAGGTGAGGAAGGAAAAATTAGGTGACAGAATTACCGCTCTCCACCAGCTAGTTTCCCCATTTGGGAAGGTAAAATCCCCACAGTAATTTCCCTGATTAACCCTCTTAATTTACTATATCATTGTTCTAAAAAAAGCAACTTTTTGGTTCACTTAACTTTTGTGTACAAAATGAGGTGGTGTTTGTTGAAGATATGAACCCAGAAAAGTATGAAAAAGAAGCATAATATATAGTTTTGTTTGATTATTTGTGATCCAAGATTAGGCGAATATTCAGGTTAGGGCATAAAAATAAAACAATGAAAAAAAAAGGGCACATGGAAATATGAATTTGGATGGTTGTGGCGTGGAGCTGAGGTTGTGTTTTAATTGGTACAGACTGACACAGCTTCAGTTTTGTTAGAAGCTATTGGATACATCAGATTCCTCCACAGTCAAATTGAGGTGATGTTTCTTCTTCTTTTCCTCAAACAACCATGCATTCCCAGATTCCTCTTTTCACTTTTAAATTACTCCAAACAAAAATATATATGTACACACCAAACTAATTTTAACATTTATTCAAAAACATTATTTCTGCATTGGATTCAGGCCCTCAGCTTACCCTACTTGGGCAATACTTCGGCAAGTACGAGGCAGCTCCAACAACATTCTGTAAGCATCCTGAATTGACCCTAAAATTTATAAAATTCCCTTCTCACCCATTTCAAATTTATCCACAAAAATTTCACTTTTTTTTTAGGTTCAGGGGGAAATAAATAGTGTTTTTCCTGAACACACTGACCAGGTGAGTTTTCTTAATGTAATTTGTTTTTATGTTTTTCTACTGACTTTGTTGACTTAAAGTTGGAATAAAATTTTAAAAAAGATTGTTACGAAAATTTTATGTTTGTTTTTTGAAACTCAATGTAAGAGGTTTTCATATATAATCTATAGATTCTGAGAAAGCTATGTGTTGCTGAATAAAGTTTCTTAAAAACAACAATGTTTTCAGCTTTATTGACTTCAAAAACATCAATCCTATAAATTAATTTCACCCAACAAAAGAAAAAGATTACATTTTTCTTTCAATTTCAACTTTTTGGCTCATGGGTTTTCGTTTTCACAAGCTCTTGAATGAGAATTTAAGAGCCTTGAAAAAATTATTTATCATATATTTTGAAACTTGTTTTAGGATGAAGAGGGAAAGAAGGATCTGAGGAGTAGAGGACTGTGTCTGGTTCCAGTCTCCTGCACCCTGCAAGTTGGGAGTGACAATGGAGCAGATTATTGGGCTCCGGCGTTCGGCGGTGGTGGCGGTTTCCGGTAGACGTTGCGGTGGAGGGGATTTGATAGGGCAGTTACAGCAAGCAGCAAGAGTGAAAAAAGAAGAGAATGGAGAGAGCCACATTATGAAACTGATATAACATCATGAGCAGTCAATCTGCTAAAGAAAACCGAAGGCTGATTGCTCATGATGCTATGCAAACATACTCCAACCACAAAAATATTATACAAGAAGTGTGCTGTAGCAGATGCTTTCAAAATCTAATCTTTTCTTAGTAATTGTGGCTTTTAATCTTAGTTTTATAGTTGAAAATCATCATTATTATTACTATTATTGATGTTTTAATGTAGTTATTAGGGAATGTGATGAGATTTTATCCTTTTCCTAAATGCCCAGCTGCTTAACAAATATATATTCTAGTATTGAAATTTGGGTTTTGCTTTATAACTTCCTTCCTTCCTCTTTAGTTCCTCTCTAATGTAATGGCTCAAGCCCACCGCTAGTAGATATTATTTTTTTGGGCTTTCCCTCAAAGTTTTTTAAAAGTTATGGAAAGGTTTTTACACCCTTATAAAGTATGTTTCGTTCCTCTCTCAAACTGATGTGGGATTTCACAATCCATCTCCCTTCGGGGCCCAATGTCCTTGTTGACACTCGTTTCTCTCTCCAATCGACGTGGAATCTCACATCAACCATCACTAGTGTGCCCATCGATTGTGACGTATGAATACAAGTGGCTATCCCGCTTTTATAATAGAGTGCAACGATTGTGAATCTTGAGTTGAAAATTCGATCCTATAATCTTTTAGGTTGGTTTTGAGAAATTGAAAAGTAGTTTAGAAGATGATCTAAACTAAGCTTAGATGCCAGTTTAGGTTGACATGGGCTATTGGTATGAGTTCCTTTATGATCTGTTTGAGTGTGGCCCAGTTTTAACCCTTTGGAATTGACAAGCCAAGAACTCTGAAGAATTGGGACCTCAAAGTTGATAAAAATCAAAAGAGGGAGTAGAGATCTTTTTTTTTTCTTTCTTGTTGTTGTTGTTGTTTTTCTTTCTTTTGTTTTTGGGTTTCCCTCTCATTTTCATTTGCATGGAGACAGAGAGATGGCTCCAAAATTGATGAATTTGAAATAACCTCAGCGACTGGAAAATCCCATTTGGAAAAGACACAAATTTGGTAAAATAATTGATAATTTCTTCTCACTACACAAACACAAACACAAACACAAACCACCACTCTGCCTTTGGCTCCTTGTTAGCAGCTTTGATACTTAACCGAACACAAAACCAATTGTCCTTTAGCAACTCGGTTTGACTTATTCGATTATTCGATTCTCTTTGATAACGATTTTGTATTTTAAAGCAGATACTAGCAGTTTTTACAACAAACTAATGCTTATTGTCACTGCATTGTTGTGAATATTCAACGTCTTGTTTTTTTCCTTGCCAACACATTGAATCAACTTCTTGTTTATATGTATTTGAAGCGCCATGGCGTTGTCTCAATTCTTAGTGAACGCTCAATGCTCACACCACCATGACACTGCCCTCTTAGGGACTGGCTTTGCGTTGGTTCTGCAGGTGCTATGGATGCTGCAGCGCCTCCACGCTAATATTGAGGCCTAGGTGTTGTTAAGCAGTTGTGTTTCATTTTGCTTGTAGTCATAAGCTGTTTTCACTCTTGCTTTAAAAAATCAATGCCTTCAAACGTTCTCCTCGAATCGAAACGGAGCCAGAGACTTGAGTATACGTTGCCCAATTGTAGGCAACACAAACCCAAATTAGCCTGACTCACTTAATGTTGCGAGTGAGTGCAGCACAATCATAAAAGTTCGTTGCCAAAAAAAGTGTAATTATGACAGGATGAATATCTCGTATCTAAAAACTAGGAATTCGCCTGGTGAATCCTCTTGAATCCAAATAACTCAATTTTTTCCCATGAACTATCTAAAACTTGTGATAATGGGTGTAATCCAAAAGAAGATTCAAACGCAATTCTTCTGCAGGATCTTCTCCAGTGGTCTTTGATTTTTCTAGAAGTCATGGTTACTGTTTTATGATCTTTTGATTTAAGAGAAAAGGTAATGAAATCCGTAATGACTCAATTCTTGGTAAAGTTTCAAGCTTTCAATTTCTCCCCATTTCATTCAGTATAATAACCATTCATGTGCATAAATCTGGCATAGTTAACACGAAAACTAACAAAAATCTCATGAATTTATAGCCCAACAAGTGAGCTATATCAAGAACAGAGAAGCTTGGGCTTACCTTTTATATGGAAGCTTCTGCTTTGTCTGCATTAGACTTGATTGTTTGATCAGTTCTGCAATGCAATGAAATACTCAGTCAAGCCGGCCGCGGCGGCACTGTACTTGCGCTTTATTATATTCACCAAAATTCCTGCCGGCAATCAGAATCATCATCCTGCGTCCGCCACACTTTGGGCCATATTTTATTTTCTTCCACCAATTCGACCACCATCGTTACCGGTGCAATGGTGGCCACCGGTACCATCACCGCGTCGAGTATTCTCCACCACATATCCGCCTTCATCTCTGAAATACTTGCCCAATCCGAACTCCGAAAGCGCCTTCTCTCCGTCGTGTACGGCATAGTCTCACTCTCAGACGAGATTGCCCTAAAACCCCTAGAGCTTGCAGCCGAAGCTCTCGAAAATGCCATCTTCACCGATAACTCTTCGATCAAATCCTCTTCTCTCCGTTGCGCGGAAGAGTTACTCCTCTCCCTTCCTGAAAACGCCTGTTCTTCTTTTCTATTATCCCTAATTTACGGCCTCAATCACCAAAATCTCAACTCCGCTCTTAACCTCCTCCATTTATTCCTCTCGGACCCTTCGTTGGCTCGCTCCGAAATCGCTCCGATTCTCTTCGAGGAGCTCTTTCTCCGCCATTTTCTTCCAATTATTCACTGGTTCCACGAACAGAGATCCGAAATCCTGACGTTCTTCCCCTCGAATTTAATCAACAATACTACCGAACATTCAATCGGCGATGAGTCGGAGGTTTTTCATTGCACGAAATCGTTGTCGAAGTTGAGCATTGATCAGACTTTGAAGCTGAAGGAACTGGAAAGCAATTACGAGCGGGTTTTGGACAAAAATTGCAGAGTTTTTGCTAAACATTTCAAAAGGGTTTTAGAAAGAAAAGACAATGGTGGATCGATCGCAATTCCAATGGTTAAATTATTGGATAAGAATGAGAAGTGGAATGAAATGGAACAGATTGCAGAACAGAAACTCAGAACAGAGCAGCTCTGTTTACCCAATGGACGGTATAATGTAATATCTACCACTGTTCCCATCATTAATTTTTGGTTTAATTAATCTAATAAGACAATGCTTAAAAACTAAATAAATATTTTTGAAAATTTCAAAATTAGTTAAAGAATTCAAATGTTTTCTTAATAATATTGAAAACTGAATAGAGTTTCTATTATTTCTTATAAGTGTTTAACTAATTTTTCCATTAATCCATTTACTAATTCTTTTTAACAATCAAATCCCTCGCAGCATTAAGCTTTGATCATAATGGGTCTTTAAGAAATTGCACAAATTTAGGAACTTCCACGGTTCCCGAAAGACCCATAGAAATTTCGTCGACGACTTCAATCTATACATTTGATTATGACTTCCTTCTCTTCCGTATTCTGCAGCCAATTTGGATCGAAGAAGAACAAACGCTCCAAGTTGACTGTACCAATAAATCAAAGTCAGCGTCGCCGCCGTGTGTTCGTTCCCAAGTATTCGGACCTTTCAATCTCATTTCCGAGCAAGAATCATCCAGCAGCTCGAGAACTTTTTCTATCTTCAAGTCGACTGCCCAAGACCAAGACGATTCTTCTGAAATTTTCTCGTTGGGATCTGAGACTGAATTCGAGGTAAAATAAGAATCAGTGTTAACAAGGAGAAAAAGAACACAACCCATTGTTCCCCTTTTGATATTATACGTTTCCTTTTGTTTGTTTTTAGGAAAATGACCACGAAAAGACATTGTTTGATTCTGGACAGCCGAAACCCAAGAACCAGAAGCTAAAACAGACCATAACCCAATCATTGGAGTTGGATTATGCTATGGAAAATTCCCGCAGCGCCTCACCGGAAAGTGGTGAAAAGCATATTACACCTCCTAAGGACTTTGTATGTCCCATAACTTGCAACATCTTTTATGACCCAGTAACTATAGAGACGGGTCAGACTTATGAGCGCAGTGCCATTCAAGAATGGCTTGATAGAGGTAACTTGACCTGCCCAATCACTGGACAGAAGCTGCAAAATACCCAACTTCCCAAAACCAATTATGTCCTCAAACGACTTATTGCAAGCTGGCTAGAGGAGAATCCCAATTTTGTATTGGACAAAGCTCTTGATGAGGCTGAATCAGTGGCTGTTTTAACCTCACCTGTTAGTTTCATAAGCCAAGCCTCCATTGACAGAAGTATGGAGATGAGGCGTGCAATTACCAATCTCTGTACTTCTGAAGTTTTGGAGGAGGCGGAAACTGCCGTGCTTTGTGTGGAGAGGTTCTGGTTGGAAGAAAATGTGGAAGGGGATGTTCAACATATGTTGTTGAAGCCTTCTGTAATCAATGGACTTGTTGAGATCCTTGTCAATTCTGTTGATCTTCAGGTCTTGAGAGCGGCAATCTTTCTTCTATCAGAGCTGGGATTCAAGGGTGATATTGTGATTGAAACGCTCACTCGAGTCGAGTCAGATGTGAACTGTATTGTGACTCTTTTCAAAAGAGGTGTTGTCGAGGCTGTTCTGTTAATATATCAGTTGGGACTTTCCAGCCAAACTCTACAAGAAATGGATGTAGTCGGTTCCCTTTTGAGTGTTGTTAAAAAGAAAGAAGAAGATGTGAATAAGATGCGTTTGAGCCATAAATCTGCTGCAGTGCTTTTGCTTAGAAAGATTTTGGGGAGTAAAGAAGGATCTCCGACTGTTGTTGCTGTGCTTGCTGAAAATGCAATTGAAAGTATTTTAGGTAGTTTGAAAGCCAAGCAGGTGGAGGTGCGGATTGCTGCAGTTGGAATCTTGCTAAGATGCATTCAGGAGGATTGGAAGTGTAGAAATATTATAGCTGATAAAGCCGACTTAGCTCTGATTTTGTCAAGTTTCACGAAAGTGAGTAACGACGAACAATTCGAGATCATTATGTTTCTCTCTGAGTTGGTTAAGTTAAACAGGTATGTTCTCCTAGTCATTGTCAACACATCTTTTTCATCAATATCTCGAGGGTAAGTCCAATAGATTGAGACATGTAGTTGCAATAATGGAAGTTATCCTTCTGTTTCTTAGGAGGACTTCGAACGAAAAAATTCTTCGAAACATTAAGGATGGAAGCAAATGTAGCACTATGCACTCCCTTTTGACGTACTTACAAACTGCCCACAGAGATCAATGCCCTGTAGTGGCTGGTCTTTTGCTACAACTTGATATCTTGGTATGGGTATCACATTTTCTTTTGTAGTTAGGCAGATAGAACTTTCAAGTCCGTCTTTAACATTTTTTCTTCTAGTTTAATGGGCAAGTTTATTTTCTGGTAAAGCATATTTCTTTTACTTCTGAAGTTTTATGTTGTTCCCATGCTACTACGTTTCGGTACTTGTTTATAGGTGGAACCACTAAAGATGAGTATCTATCGTGAAGAGGCGATGGACGCCCTTATTTCATGCCTCAGAGATTCTGACTTCCCAACAGCTCAAATTTCTGCTGCTGAGACGATAATGTCTTTACAAGGAAGGTTTAACACCTCCGGACAACCCTTAGCTAGGTATTTTCTTCTTGAACGTGCTGGCCTTACTAAAAATCACAGGAAACCCATTGGAAGTGAGAATATTAGTGATGCTCTTGGAGAAGTTGAACTTACAAGGGTGAGTTTTCTTGAAATTTTAGATATTTATATTTTGTTCAATGCTTGGATCTCTGTAGTTGGCCTATATACAAGTTATGATCCCATAACTTTTATGTGGTTCATATTCTTTTATTCAAAAAATAAATCCATTTACTTAAAATTGGCATAAAAGGAAGAAGATAAGGCAACTGATGAGTGGGAAAGAAAAATGGCATTTGTACTTGTAAACCATGACTTTGGGTTGCTGCTTGAACCATTGGCAAAAGGCTTAAAGAGCAAATGTGCAGCGCTATTTTCAGCATGCTTTGTCTCTGCAACATGGCTGAGTCATATGCTTGGAACTCTTCCTGACACGGGGATTCTAGAAGCTGCTCGAATTTTCTTGCTCGATCACTTCTTATCGATTTTCACAATGACGACAGATATTGAAGGGAAAGCACTTGCCTTGCTAGCAATAAACAGTTTCGTACATGAACCCGGTGGGTAACAATTTGTAAAGCAAAAACATGAATGTCATATTCTTTCTGCAGCCTCATGGTACTTTCCATCCATTATTTAGATGTTTACCGACATTAATTTCTTGTCCATGTGAATTCCAGAAGGACTGCAGTACCTAAGTTCCGACATGAAAAATATTATGAGAGGTCTCAAGGAATTTAGGAGATCAACGCCATTGGCCTTTGATATGCTAAAAGTCCTATGTGAGGGACAAGACTCGAGTACTGTAAGTATGTGCACCTATTGATATCTTATTGTCGCTTTCTGTGGAACCATGAAATGATTCCATATCCTTCTTCTAATATAGGAACTCTGGAGTCATCATGAATTGTTTAAAGTAGATTGCAGTAGAAATGGAGAAGTACTATCAATTGCTCATTGCAAGGACAGGATCATCTCTGGCCATTCAGATGGAACAATGAAGGTATCTTCACCTCACGTACCAACCATCTGTTGTAGTTTCAAGTTTTATCCTTTATCGATCTGTTGATCGCATTTAGAAACTATTGCGATAATATATCTGACATATTGTTACGTTGGTATGTAGCTATCCTTCTTGCATTTGTATTGTATATTCATAAAAATGGAAGCACCTTTCAGAAATTTTGCCAATGCCCAAGATTTATATATTGAAGCTTGGAAGAGAGAAGGTTTTCTATGTCAACATCATTGATTTTCTCCTGGATTTGATCGTCTATAAATTCGAGAACTAGTGAGAACTGAGGTTTTAGCTGGTTCATGATCATGAATCAAGATGCTTTTTCATATTGGAATCTTTTCATTGATTAACGTTGGTCACTAACTACTACAATAGAATTAGATAATCTGTGCCATAATGTAAAATTGTGAGTTTGAAGTGGTAATAACTATAGCATTCGAAGGAGTTTCTTGGACAAAATTTCTTTATATTTTGGTGCTTTTCCATTATGACAATGGTGTGTTTGTTTGGCTTTAAAGGTCTGGTCTGTTAGAGGCACTAATCTTCATCTCCTACAAGAAATTCAAGAGCACTCTAAGGGAGTCACCAGTCTAGCAGTTGCAGAATCCGAAGAGAAATTATACAGTGGCTCCTTAGACAAGACCATAAAGGTGCTTAAACATTAATCATTTTCTCTCACATATATTGTATCGAACTCTGGATTAAAGATCACTTTTCTTCATGCGCAGGTATGGTCTCTAGGTAGTGATATAGTCCAATGCATACAAGCTCACGATGTGAAGGAACAAATTCACAACTTAGTCGTTTCAAAATCTGTTGCTTGCTTCATCCCCCATGGAGTTGGTATCAGGGTATCTCATCAAATACTTCATTATCGAATTCCATTTTATACATTATATTCAGAAGAAGATCGTCACTGGCTCGTATTGAAATATATTTAAGGTTTATTCATGGGCCGGGGAATCGAAGTTACTTAACTCGAGCAAACATGTCAAGTGCTTGAATCTTATGCATGGAAAACTATACTGTGGATGCCATGATAGTAGCATCCAGGTACCATTCTTTCTTCAATCCATTGCTTCTATGAAGTCTTTTGTTCCTTGGTTCGGTGTTTTGACGACTTTGTTTACACGATCTATTAGGAGGTTGATTTGGCTACAGGTACCGTAAGTTACATCCACAGCGGTTCTAGAAAACTATTGGGAAAGGCCAATCCTATCCATGCACTTCAAGTTTACGACGAACAATTATTTTCAGCCAGTACTGCTTTAGATGGAGCAGCTGTGAAGGTACTCTGTTAACATTTACATTACTTCGACTATTTATCCGATCCTGTTTTATAGTGGTAAGAATATTGAGTTTCCTTTGTTCCAAAAAGATCCGGTGTAGGTCGAACTATGGTGTGATTGGATCACTGTCAACGGCAATGGATGTAAGAACTATGGCCGTAGGCTCAAATCTAACTTACTTGGGAGGTAAAGGAGGAGTGGTTGAAATTTGGAGCAGGGAAAAGCACAACAAAATAGACACACTTCAAATAGGTAGAAACTGCAAGGTCGTTTGCATGAGTCTCAATGAACGGGAGGATGTTCTGGTCATCGGTACATCCGATGGTCGGATTCAGGTAGAATGTTTCTTCTATTTCAGATCACTTTTGCTTTATCAGAAACTTAAAACACCTCAATCTTACTATCATAGTAAGTTTGAGAGTACGACATTCTCCTTCTGCAATATTAGCTAACAATCAGCTCTTTTCTGTTCTTTTACCAGGCTTGGGAACTATGACAGAGAAAGAAAGGATGGCACCGTGATGTTGATACGAAAGTGTAATTTTAATGTTTGTATCAATATTGTATTAGAAGTTACAATCTCTTGGGTATTTTGTAGAGGTTATGGGATGTGAGAAATCTGCTAGAAATTGAGCACTACATGATCTCTATGGCTACTCAAAACAATCAATGCTATCAAAAGTTGGGAAAAACTCAATTTCATCCAATTGGATCCTAGCTGTTTTTCACAAATTTTATGAATGGTTCATAAAAGAAATTATGATTGAATAACTTTGCCAATCATTAATTGGGTAAAAAAATTGCTAAACACTTATTTAACGAATTCAATCCAATGCATTGTGATGATAACATTCTTCTCCTCCGTATTCTGCAGCCAATTAAGGCTGAAGGACAAACCCTGTTGCTTGAAGTCCAGAGCCACCAATCAAAGTCAAATTTCACCTTCCTGCAAGAATCGTCTAGCTGGTTCACAACCAGTTATCGATTCAATTCGGCTGCTCACAAAGCTGAAGATGATATTTCTGAAATTCTCTTTGGGATCTGAGATTGATTCGTGGTATTAGTAAGAATTGATATTAACAAGGAAAAAAGCACAGCCTATTAATATTCTTTTGAGGATTCTTGTCTGCTTTTGTTTGTCTTTGGGGAAATAACTACGAAACGACTTTGTTCGACTATATATCTAAGACCCAGAAGCTAAAACATACTAGAGCTTCCATAGAAGAATTGAGAACCCATTAGGTGGCGTTTGGCTCTTGCCATGGAAGAATCCGGCAATAACGGGCTGGAAAGTGGCGAAATGCATCATAATACACATCCTAAGGACTTCGTATGCCCCATCACTTGCAACATTTTTTATGATCCAGTAACTATAGAGACGGGTCAGACTTATGAGCGAAGTGCTATTCAAGAATGGCTTGATAGAGGGAACTCAACCTGCCCAATCACTGGACAGAAGCTGCAAAACACCCAACTTCCCAAAACCAATTATGTGCTCAAAAGACTGATTGCAAGTTGGCTGAAGGAGAATCCTAACTTTGTTACAGATAAAGCTCTTGATGAGGCTGACTCCGCGGCTGTTTTGATCTCACCTGTTAGTGTCATAAGTCAAGCCTCCATTAACAGAAGTATGGAGGTGAGGCATGCAATTTCCAATATCGTTTCTTCTGAAGTTTTGGAGGAGGCAGAAAGTGCTGTGCTTTGTGTTGAGAGGTTTTGGTTGGAAGAGAATGTGGATGTGGAGATTCAACATATGTTGTTGAAGCCTCCTGTAATCAATGGACTTGTTGAGATCCTTATCAATTCTGTTGATCTCCAGGTTTTGAGAGCCTCAATTTTTCTCCTATCAGAGCTGGGATTCAAGGATGCTGCTGTCATTCAAACGCTTACCCGGGTTGAGTCGGATGTAGACTGTATTGTGACACTTTTCAAAAGTGGTTTAATGGAGGCTGTTGTGTTGATGTATCGGTTTGGACTTTCCATCCAGCGTCTACAAGAGATGGACTTGGCCGGTTCCCTTTTGAATGTTGTTAAGAAGAAAGAAGATGTGAATAAGATGCAATTGAACCCAAAATCTGCTGCGGTGATTTTACTTAGAAAGATTTTGGGAAGGAGTAAAGAAGGATCTCTGATTGCTGTTGCCGTGCTTGCTGAAAATGCAATTGAAAGTATTTTAGTTAGTTTAAAAGCCAAGCAGGTAGAGGAGAGGATTGCTGCAGTTGGGATCTTGCTAAGATGCATTCAAGAGGATGGGAAGTGCAGAAATATGATAGCTGATAAAGCTGACTTAGCTCCTATTTTGGGAAGTTTCATGGAAGTGAGTAACGACGAACAATTTGAGATCATTATGTTTCTCTCTGAGTTAGTTAAGTTAAACAGGTTTGTCCTACTGGTGATCGTCTACATCTTAATCCAAGAGATTGAGACGTAGTTTAATACTGAAGTTTATCCTTCTTTCTCTTAGGAGGACTTTCAATGAACAAATTCTTCAAAACATAAAGGACGGAGGTGAATGCAGTACCATGCACTCCCTTTTGGTATATTTGCAGACTGCCCCCAGAGATCAATGCCCTGTTGTGGCTGGTTTTCTGCTACAACTTGATATCTTGGTATGAGCATCTCGTTCTCTCAATAAGCTTATACAGTAATATTCTGTAAAAAAAAAGAGTTTGATGTATTAGGTTTATTAGTTTTGTTCAATTTGTCAAATATATCCATATTGAGTTTGTACAACTAGAGTCTAACATAAGAAATATGTGAGATCCCACATCGGTTGGAGAGGGTAAGGGTGTGGAAACCTCACCCTAGCAGACGTGTTTTAAAAACCTTGAGGGAACGCTTGAAAGGGAAAGTCTGAGGAGAACAATATCTGATAACGATGGGCTTGGGCTGTTACAAATGGTATCAGAGTCAAACATTAGGCGTTGTGCCAACAAGGACGTTTGGCCCCAAAGGGGGGGTGGATTGTGAAATCCCACATCGATTGAAGATAGAATGAGTGCCAGCGAGGACGCTGGGTCCTGAAGGGGGATGAATTGTGAGATCTCACAACGGTTGTAGAGGAGAACGAAACATTCTTTATAAGGGTGTGAAGACCTCTCCCTAGCAGATGCGTTTTAAAAACCTTGCCGGAAAGGGAAGGTCCAAAGAGGACAATATCTGCTAGCGGTGGGCTTTGGCTGTTACAACACATCTATGGTTAAAGTGACTGATGTGTGTCCAGCAAGTATTGGAGTGTCCAGTGTCTAACACACTAGTGTTTGTGCTTCTTAGCTTCATACCCTCCTAGACTAAGTTTGTACAATTGGAGGCGTTACCATTACTTCAAAGTTCTATTCCTCTCCCATGCTTAGTACAATATTGCTACACTGGTTTATAGGTCGAACCAAGAAAGTCGAGTATATATCGTGAAGAAGCAATGGATGTTCTTTTATCATGCCTTGGAAATTCTGACTTTCCAACAGCTCAAATTTCAGCAGCTGAGACGATTATGTCCTTACAAGGGAGGTTTAGTACATCCGGAAGACCCTTAACTAGGTATGTTCTTCTTGAACGTGTTGGATTTGCGAAAGGTTGCATGAAACCGAAACGAAGAGATAATAATAGCAGTGGTCCTGGAGACGTTGAACTTTCAATAGTGAGTTTCTAGAAATTTCAAATACTTTTGGATATTTTCTAAATGATTGGAACTCTGCAGCTGGCTTATATATATAAGCTACAACAATGCCATAACTGTTATGTGTTTCTTATTCTTTTATTCAAAAAATAATTTTGTTTACTTCAAATTTGCACAGAAGGCAGAAGAGAGAGCAACTGATGAATGGGAAAGAAAGATGGCATTTGTACTTGCGAGCCATGACTTTGGCTTGTTGTTTGAGCCATTGGCAAAAGGCTTAAAGAGCAAATATGCCGCATTATTTTCTGCTTGCTTTGTCTCTGCCACATGGCTCAGTCATATGCTCAAAGTTCTTCCAGACACGGGGATTCTAGACACTGCTCGAGTTTGCTTGCTTGATCACTTCGTATCAATTTTCATAACAACAACGGATATCGAAGAGAAAGCACTTGCCTTGCTAGGAATGAACAGTTTTGTACACCAACCAGGTGGGTAGAACCTTTTGAAACAAGAATAAAGGTACCCATATGAATGCTTACAAACATTAGTTATTTGGCCATATAAATCCCAGAAGGACTGCAGTACCTAAGTTCCAACATGAAAGATATCATGAGAGGTCTCAAGGAACTTAGGAGATCAACAGCATTGGCCTTTGAAATGCTAAAAGTTCTTTGTAAGGGAGAAGAGTCAAGTGCTGTAAGTAGTTGCATCTATTGGCATTTTAGTTCATCTATCCACAACCGTGTAATGATTCTATATCCTTGTTCTAACGTAGGAACTCTGGAGTCATCAAGAGTTGTTTCTTGTAGATTGCAGTAGAAATGGAGAAGTACTATCAATTGCTTATTTCAAAGACAAAATCATTTCTGGCCATTCTGATGGAACAATCAAGGTATCTTCACCTCACCTCAAGATGCTTTTTCATATTTTGAATCTTTCCACTAATTAACATCACCCATGAATCGCTGTAATCTTCGGTAATGTGTCGTAATGCAATATCGTGTCTTCTGAACTGGTAATAACTACAGCATTCAAAGGAGCTTCTTGAATATATATATATATGTTGGTACTTAGAGCTATCTAATTCTCTGTCAATGGTGCGTTTACTTGGCTATAAAGGTCTGGTCTGTTGGAGGAACTAATCTTCATCCCCTACAAGAAACTCAAGAACACTCCAAGGGAGTCACCAGTCTAGCAATTATAGAATCCGAAGAAAAACTATACAGTGGCTCTTTAGACAAGACCATTAAGGTGCTTAAACATCAATAGTTTTCTCCCACGTGTATTGTTTCGAACTTCGGTTTAAATATCGCTTTTCTTCATGAGCAGGTATGGTCTTTAGGTAGTGATGTAATCCAATGTATACAAGTTCATGATGTGAAGGATCAAGTTCATAATTTAGTCGTTTCAAAGACCATTGCTTGCTTCATCCCACATGGAGCTGGTATCAGGGTAACGCATCAAACACTTCATCTCTTTTCTTTGTGAAAACCATCAAATTCTGCATATTCTTCCAGAAAAAGTTTGTCAGTGGCTCATTTCTTAGAAATATCTTTTAGGTTTATTCATGGGGTGGGGAATCGAAGTTACTAAACTCAAGCAAGCATGTCAAGCGTTTGAATCTTGTGCGTGGAAAACTATATTGTGGATGCCATGATAGTAGCATCCAGGTGCCCTTCTTGCTCTGTCTGATCCACTGCTTCTATGAAGTCCTTTGTTTCTTGGTTCGGTGTTCTAACGATGCGATTCCATGGTCTATTAGGAGGTTGATTTGGCTACAGGAACCGTAAGTTACATCCACATTGGTTCAAGAAAATTACTGGGAAAGCCTAATATTGTTCAGTCACTTCAAATTTACGACGAACAATTATTTTCAGCCAGCACTACTTTAGATGGTGCAGCTGTGAAGGTACTACGTTAACATTCACATTCTTCCACTACTTGTCTGATCCAGTTTTTTATAGAACTGAAAATGTTGAGTTTTTTGTTGTAAAAAGATTTGGAGTATGTCAAACAACAGTGTGATTGCAACACTGTCAACTGCAATGGATATAAGGACTATGACTGTAAGCTCAGATCTAACTTACTTAG